TTAAAAAAATAATAAGACCCCGACAGCAGGGCGAATCTATATAAGACACCGTGTAAGACCCCCCCGACCCCCTCAACTAAAATTTCTGGCTTCGCCCCTGGATGACCCTGGTAATTATTATCTAAGGATTTGTGGGGGATTGTTGTAATAAACATTACATGAGAAAAGAGGATTGTATTATGTGGGAATCCTTAGATATAATTGTGTGTTTAATGTTACTAATGTATTGTCCAAATTCATTGTGGAGAAAACATAACCGTGTTCGGTTTTGAATTGTGAGATGAAAAGTGTGATGAAACTCAAAGTTTCATTACTTTTGTCTTAATGAAGGCATTAAGACATCTCCACTTCATTGAATGCATGCATTTTTGAAGACTTTGTAACACTATAAATAGTGTGCATGCAAGCCTACGGGAGAACACACCAAGAGAAGAAAAGAAAAAGGATCATCTTTTATATACATAATCTCTTTCATCATCTACAAGTCTAAGAATAATTAAGGGTTCTTGGCGACTGAACTTCTGATCGAGGTGAGTGTGTTAGATAGTGCAGTCTTCACACTTTGAGCCGTCTTATCCTGGGAGAAAAGGCGTAGTACTCGTTGCACAGTATCGGAGCGTCTGTTTCTTCAAGGAAAACAAATTATTTCTGTGATTCGGCTATATGTGTTCTATGACTATATAGAACTGTCAGTTAAGTTATTTATTTTTATAATAAACTTATTTATTTACTATTAGAAATCTGGTTTCATCTCACGTTCCCGTGGTTGATGTTTGTGGTTTTTATTTTCAAATTCTAAATACGTATATGTGTTGAAACTCGTTCTTAATTCGCCTTTTACAATTTATTTTTCCAACAAGCACAACTCTAGGCCAGTGGCGGAACTACATACGGGGCCCTGTAGAATTTTGTGCAATAATATATATATATATATATATATATATATATATATATGTGTGTGTGTGTGTATGTATAAATGTATTATTATCTTGACATAAGACTATACATGTTATTAATTATTATGTAAAATTATTAAAATATAAAAAATAAAAAGAAAATATTTAGAATTATTTAACTTTCAATAGTATATTACCTTTTAAGTTGTGGAATTTATGCTTATGCTATGCTCAACTTCTTATTTTTTTTTCTCTCCTAAAATTCATAAAAAAAACAAATATTATAAATATATATATATATATACATATATATATATATACTATATGGGATTGGATCAAATGTGTCAATATTCTTAAACGGGAATGAGAGACTCAACTAACTATTAGATAAGAAATAAAAAACAAGGTGTTTGGTCAAAATTTAACTTTTTTTTTATTTTTTAGTTGGTTAAATATCAATTTGACAATGGACTTTCGACGTTGACCGTTGATCGTAATTTGTGTCTCCATTGTCCTTAAAGTTTGGGTCCGCCCCTACTCTAAACACTAGGCGTTGGTCGATAACGGACACCTAACAGCTTTTAGAAGACTAATAATAATAGAGTAAGCAAAACCTAACCTTAACAAACATCTACATTAAAACGAAAAAAAAAAACAAAACAAAAAATAACAAACATCTACATGAAAAAAGGAAATTCCAATGTTTCTAGCATTATCATAATGTTAACACGTGGAAGACTTTCATGATGGTCTTCAAATAAACCGAAATAATAGTTAAAAAAGAAAAGGAAAAAAAAAACAAAAGTTACCCATAAAGATGTAGGGATGATATGTAGTCTCACAACCAAATTTCCTCTAACAATAGACAGATATTCATGTGATAGAACAATGATACATATTATCTAAGCCACAAAAAACCACATGAAAATAATTTATAACACAAGGCATATTTGGTTAGAATTTAGAATAATTAAGAGTGATCCAAAACGATGATAACAAGTATTGCTTATTTAATTGAAGTAAGGAGAGTAAGAATCTAGATACCATTTGCTCTTAATTTGGATTTCTATATTTTCAATTAGAAATATTTAAAATCATTAGAATTTGCTAGAGATTGGAAAACATATATGTGAAGCCAAAAAAAAAATATCAAACAATCTCATATAGTTTAGTCAAACTAGACCAAACAAATGAGACTAAGGGTGTTTGAGAAGGTGTGGTAGCCAAAAATAATTCTTCAATCATGGAATGGGAGGATTTCTGTAACCATGGAATGGAAGGATTTCTGCAATATCAGATATGTGACTTTGAGGGGAGGAGGTGACTTTGAGGAAGAGGCTAAGGCATTAGGTTTTGAGATAGTGGTGTTTTAGTTTTGTTTCTAGTGTTTTTGTTAGGTGGTGTTTTAGTTTTGTTTCTAGTGTTTTTGTTAGATTTGTTTGGTGTTTTTGTTTTTTTCTGCTTTTGTAGTAAGGGTTGATTATTGGTGTGGTTTTACTTTGTTTTCTCTTCGGTTTTATTAGCATTGTGGGTGGATTTGCAGGTTTTTGTGTTTGATGTGTAGTTGAAGAAGGTTTCGGTTTAATTGCAGCCTTTTTCTTTTATGTAGTGTTTGTTTAGACCATACTTTGGTATAGTTCTCTCAAGTGCTTTGCGTTGTTTGTAGGGGCTTTCCCCATTTGAACTTTGTCGGTGACTAAGGGTGAGTATTTGTGCTAGTTCTTTTGTTAATAATGCATAATTTTGAAAAATATGGTATGTCAGATGTTAGTGAGATTTTAGTTTATATTAAAGTAATATTTAAATAAAATAATTAAAGTTGATTTGAAGTTAATGTAAGAGAGATACGATGTGTAGTGGTTAGTTAAAATTATGTGAACCTATGGAAAGTGAAATGAAATTGTTGTGATATGTAAGATTGATTGATTAATATTATTTAATTATATTGAGTGGAGTTGAGTCAAATTTTAAATATGAATTGAAGATGAATTGAATTATTTTATATACAGTTACACCCTAAGTAGACATGGCCAAAAACCAGGCTGGGACACGACCCGGCCCGCCGAGCCACCGGGTTGGGTTTCGACGACCCTGAATCGGCACGGACCTAGGGTCGTGCCGGGTTTGGACCCAGCCACATAAAAAAAAATTTTAAAAAAAAAAATTCAAAAACAATGTATTTTTCCGTGCCGACACGAACCCGGCCCGGCCAGCCGGGTCAAGATCGAAAAATACATGACCCTTGACCGGCCCGTTTGAAATCCGTGTCGGGCCTAGACCCGTGGTCAACGGGTTTGACTGGGCCGGGTCCAGGCCGGGTGACCCGTGGTCATGTCTAACCTTAAGTCATAGACCATAGAAACCAAACAAACTATAGAGTTGAATGCAATAATAATAATTAAAAAATTCAATCATAACTATTGTATGAGGTGGTCTTGCAGCCTTTTTTTTTTTTTTTG